GAGGCTTTCCGCTTCACCTACCTGCCCAGGGACCACGGTGGGCACGGGAGGGGCACAGGGTGGGCATAGGGTCCATGGGATGGGGACAGGGACAACGGGATGGGGACAGGACCCCCGGGTTTGGGGTGTGATCCATGGGATGGGGACAGCATGTGCTCCGAGTCCTTTTGCTTCACCTCCCTGCCCAGGGACCACAGTGGGCACGGGAGGGGCACGGGGTGGGCACGGGGGGGACACAGGACCCCTGGGATGGGGCCAGGACCCCCGGGTTTGGGATGTGACCCCCAGGATGGGCACAGGACTCCCGGGTTTGAGGTGTGATCCATGGGATGGGCACAGGACCCCTGGGGTGGGGACAGGACCCTCAGGTTTGGGGTGTGACCCCCGGGGTGGGCACAGGACCCCCGGAGTGGGCACAGGACCCCCAAGGTGGGGCCAGGACCCCTGAGTTTGAGGTGTGACCCCAGGGTGGGCACAGGACCCCCATTTTGGGGACAGGACCCCCAGGATGAGCACAGGACCCTTGGGGTGGGGCCAGGACCCCTGGGTTTGAGGTGTGACCCCCGGGGTGGGCACAGGACCCCCAAAATGGGGACAGGACCCCCGGGTTTGGGGTGTGACCCCCAGAATGGGCACAGGGTCCATGGGATGAGGCCAGGACCCCCGGGTTTGGGGTGTGACCCCCATTTTGGGGCCAGCCGGGGGGGTCTCTCCAGGCCGGGGCTGGGGGGTCTCTCCCTGCTAAGGGGGGTCCCCCCAAACCCCCCCGTGACCCCCCCGTGTTCTCCCTTCCCCCCCCCAGATGCCTACGGGGTGAACGTGAAGCGCAAGCGGGGGATGCCCGACGTGCTCGAGGAGCTCTCGGGGGCAGGTGGGACCCCCGGGCACCCCCAGGGACCCCCTGGCATGTTGGGGGCACCCCCAGGGACCCCCCTGGCACGAGGGGGGGACCCCCAAGGGGATGGGACCCCCAGGGATCCCCCGGGGGGGGTGTCTGGAGGAGGGGCTGCGTTTGGAGCCACTTTTGGGGCAACTTCAGGGTCACTTTTGGGGTAAATTTGGGGTCACTTTTGGGGCAAATTTGGGACGACTTTTAGGGTCACTTTTGGGGCCACTTCGGGGCCACTTTTGGGCCAATTTCAGGACTCACTTGGGGCCTCTTTTGGGCCACTTTTGAAGCACTTTTGGGCCAATTTGAGGTCACTTTTGGGGCCCTTTTGGGGCCACCTTTGGAGCTGCTTCTGGGTCACTTTGGGGGCACTTTTGGGTCACCTTTGACACCACTTTTGGGCTATTTTTGGAACCAACTTTTGGGGATACTTCGGGGTCACTTTTGGGCCACTTTGGGGTCACGTTTGGGTCACTTTGGGGTCACTTTTGGACCACTTTGGGGTCACGTTTGGGTCACTTTTGGGCCACTTTGGCTCCCAGAGCTGGGGAGGGGCTCGGGGGGAGCTTGGGTGGGGTCCGAAGGTGTCCTGGGGGGCTTTAGGGACCCCCTTCCCAGCTGAGGTTGGGGGTAGTCCCATGTTGGGGTGCCCCCCTCACCCCCTGCTCCCCCTTTGCCCCCCCAGATCCGTATGGGATCGAAGCCAAGAGGAGGAAGAAGCCCCCCGGGTACCTGGAGCACTTTGTCCCGCTGCCGGCGGCAGGTGGGACCCCAAAACCCCCCAAAACCCCCCTTGGGTGAGGTGGGACCCCCAAATCCCCTCCAAGACCCCCCCGGGTGAGGTGGGACCCCCAAATCCCCTCCAAAACCCTCCCTGGGTGAGGTGAGACCCCCAAACCTTAGGTGGGACCCCAAATCCCCCCCCAAAACCCTCCCTGGGTGAGGTGGGGCCCCCAAACACCCCCCGAAACCCCCCAGGTGAGGTGGGATCCCCAAACACCCCCA